TGTAGTGGAAGGATTGAGCAGCATCTTGTGCCACAAAGGCATAATTTTCTGAGAAATCACAGTGTACTAGTACTTCGCTGTTATTCAAATTCTCTTTTCGATCTTTAACAAAAGCTGATTGTTCTTTAACGATGAAGTGATGGGGTTTTAATACTTTTAATCATTCGATAAGAAGATCGACGAAGTCATCCATTGCAAGCGTTTGTGTCTGCAAGGTACACCTGTCAGTAGTTTGCCACACGCGAAATTGGACAGTTTCGACAACAGAATCAGAAAGGAATTTTTTCAATTCACATGAGAAGGGTTTGACTCCAAGGGCAGTCATTACATTCATCCAGATAACAGGCCGAGGTTGGATTTGTACACATCAGTTGTGCTAGACGATCTTTGTAATCCTTGAGTGGGCAGGGGTAATCTTTAGTTAGAATGGCAATGTTGATCGCTTCGAGCATCAATTTGCAATTTTTATGATACGTGCAAACACATTCGACGTGAGTGCCATTTGCTCCCGCTAGTACACATTGTTTTGGTCTCAGCTCAGCTAACTTACTGAAACCAACCAAAGCCTCTGGATGAGCATTTTTGTACTTTCTATGAAGGTGTTTCAGATTTTCGAGTATCATTTGCTTTTGCTCTACTTTCTTCTCTGCATTGATTTTGACGGATACTTTATCTTTCATCCCTGGCATGTCACGACTATTCTCTAGATAAAACTTGTGTACTTTCTCGACCGTTTGTTATGGAAGTGAATGGCCTGCTTTCGCAATTGGTGAGGCAAATACTCCTTCGATTTCTCTCAATTTGTTCGCACTTGACGCCATGTATCTCGTAATGCCAAATTCAGAAGCGATTTTCCGCTCGCTCCACGACTGTGGAAGAACCGTCAAGATTTACAAGCGCTCACCGTACTTTGCCAGATCATTGAATTTTTTTTTCAAACCATCCAGCATTTCTTCTAATTTTATTTCTCTCCAAGATCGATAGCGCTTTGATAAAGCAGGATCAGCGTCACTTTGGTCATCTTCCGCATCAGAATGCATAGGGGAACTGGAGAATTCAGATACATTGTCCGCTTCTTCATCGATTGAAATGCCGGAATCGTCGAGATGGAAAGACCGACCTGATCACAGAGAACTGTTCATCACATCTGGGCTTGGTTCGGGTGTTTCGGCTTGGGGCTTTGATATCTCGGGTGGGGTGTCCGAACATCGAAGATGTGTATCATGAAGATTCACCATTGAGACGGGTGGAATCACATAATTCGGGGCCACCTTCCGGCACTGGCCATAGATTTTCACAGACTTTGGTAGAAAGGGAAACTTCTTGTGTATTGCCGAGGAAATGGGCCGCAAATCCAAACCACTGTGTCCCTTCTGACCAGGAATCCGCATCGGATTCGCACACCTAACACTTCGCGGCATTCTATTAAATGCAAAATTATCAAATCCAATCCAAAATTATCCGGAAAATGAGGATTATTCCAATAAGTAACGTGAAAACTGCTTACCTCGATATAGCAGACAGAAAAATGCGAATTGATTCGCAGAGAATTGTACAACGATGAAAACTCAATGAGGAAGTTGAAGTTTTCACTAAAACTAGAGCCTCAGGAAAAACTGATGATATTAAATCAAGGAATTGATTCTTTTTGTTTTCTTTTCTCATTTGTTTGGTCATGATTAGGCGAACTTCCGATGATAATGACACAGTATAACTCTCATAGAAAGCGAAAAGACGCAAAAATTTTGAAGAACATTTTTTTCCCGACGCATTGTTTCTCTTTTCCATCGTGACGCATCTCTTTTCTAACTCATATTCATCAAAGGTATGGATTGAAATATCAATTTCTCAATAAAAACAAGGCAGCTCTCCTAGAAGGCGTAAAAACACGAAAATTTAGGAAACAAAAATTTTCTCCGGTACACTGGTTGTCTCTCCCATGATGGCGTATTTTTTTTACATGTATGGACGTCCTCTATGAGAAAAAAAATATTCCAGTGGAATACCGGATGGCCCTAGAGCCGAAACACAATAAAAACGTAAAAATTCATCGAAATTTAGGTGTAGAAACTTTGTCATGCCTATGGAATATTTTTTTCCTGAAAGTGTGAACAAAAATAAAAATTTTCTTTTTTATTTGTTCGAATCTGATGCGCCATTAAAAAGTTATGAATTTTGAAAATTTAAAGTTTGGTAGTCATTATCTCAGAAAAAAAAATCATGAGGCAATGAAATTTGGCAGGAATACTGCCTATATATAGTAGTTCGAAATGCGGCAATCAAATCATTTTTTCTAGGCAAAAACAATCCGGGGTGGCTGAGTTGACATGGAATGTCCCATATATTTGTTTAGGAATTAATACAATTATCAAATTACTGTACAGACCGGCGATAGAATTCTCAGTACGATGAATTTAATAATGCCAATAATTTGTTTTACCACGCGAGTAACTACTACCGCCACCATCGGAACTAATGTGAACTACATGCTGCTTCACATGATTTCTGGGGGGTTATTCTGAACAAAAAGCCGCTTCTCCTATCGCTCTTTCAAAGCGGCAATTTTCTGCCGCTAGGGGGCGACACGACACTAAATGACACAAAGTAATGGCTTTGCGAACGCATTAGGCGCAAATGCCCCTCCATCTCTAACTTTTCATTTTGAAGCAGCTATAATTTATATTCAAGTAAATTTTTAATAATTCACTTCAATACGTGTTACAAATGAGATAAATACTTGACCGATCAATTAGTGAATAGAATTGACTGCCTATCGACCACTGAGAGTAGATATTGATGCTGATAAATATCTCGGCTTCGATTTTTTATGTTGGAGCGAAAGTGGAATTTCACACAGCCATCGTATATAATCCTTGCTAACCCTATTATTAATTTCATTAATAAAAGCCAACAAATAAATCCTATGAACCAATTGAACCTGTAGTATTTATTGAACACCGAGTCCGGCAAATCCTCCAGTGGATTTGAGGTACGTCTAATTGCCCTACGTTGCGCATTCAATAATCTATGTAAGCCCCGTTGATGGTCCTCGGCTTCTTCATCAACTAACACTGCACCTGTCATATTATCGGCCATCATCACGGTTGTTTTGGTTTAAATTTCCCTAAAGTTGACTTATCATAGCTCTCCCAAATGTCAAAAAAATCTGACAGATTTGAGTTTTAAAATGCATTCACAAAGTCATCAATTCTTGTTATTTAGTATCGTGTCGCCGCCTCACGGCAGAAAATCACAGCTTCAAAAAAGGTGCGGAAAAAGCGGCTTTTTGTTGAGAATAGCCCCCCAGTAGTCAAAATTCACTTGACCGGGCTTACCGCTTCGCTACTGATTTTTTTTTGTATTCAAAGAATGCTCCATATCTCTTGAACGAATTACCGGATTTTGTTCTTCGTCATTGACAGTACTATTCTTACCTCAGTTGGATTTTTATTGCTTATTTGCATAATTCTCATAAATTATTTTTCAAAGCATCGTCATTCATGGATCCCTATTCAGAAAACATCTGTAATTTTTTTCATATTCTACAAGGGTTTTGCATATATCTGTTGCGGAATTAATATAATATTGTCAAATTGTTGCACGGACAGGGAATGAAATTTCCAGCAGGATGAATGTTACAATTCTAATGATCTGTTTTACCACGCAAGTGACTACTACCGCCACTATCGGAATCAATCTAAACTACATGCTGTATTACATGATTTTAAGGGTCGCACCAGCCGCTGTTTGGCCTTCTTTCCTCTATTCTCCATGATACTATACAACGTAGAACACTGTTGGCAGCTCCTGCATGCGAAACTGATAATTCGAGTTGCGCTGCCAACTCAATGGCTTGAGTGTGCCGTTTTCGTTCAGAAGATAATGGAAATCCGAAAAATGTGTATGCCAGTTCGTTGCTATGTGCATATCTTCGTGAATATTGAACGGATTGAATTAATAATTGCATCAGTGGAAAGCAGATTAGTGATTTATATAGTGTAACTAAAGACAGTTTTCGTATAAGTCGGCGCATTTTTCATTAATTGATGGAAAATCAGTTGAGGGTAGTGGAAGGGGAAGTTGTGGAGTGTATAGATACTTGGTAGCTCTCGTCGATTTGTTGTTGTGAGGTTATGAGGCGCGAACCCAACGGTGTAGAGCTGACTTCAGATGAGACGATCCTTGGTAACGCTGGTCGCGAAGGTCTTATGTATCGCTGGTCGAGACGGGCAGCAAAGCGAGCTTCGAGATGGGCCACTGAAGAGTTGAACTAGACGTCCTGATGGTGACCACCCTGGTGAGTCCATCTCTACCAGGATGAAGAGCGATGATGCGAGCGAGAGGCCACTTCGTCGGTGGGAATCTCTCGTCGGTGAGAATATATATATATATATATATATATATATATATATATATATATATA